ACACACACACACACACACACACACACACACACACACACACACACACACGGACACACAAGTCCATTTATTCTCTCTCTTATTTTGTGCTCCATCCAGATAGAGCTCTAATTCATTACAGGATATGTTTCCATAGCAACATCCTGACAGTTTAGCTAAAAGGTTTGGATGCTTTCACCTTGATTGATAAAAAAGGGCTGAAATGCATTTTGTTGTACCATAACCAACTACCTGTGAATGCATCTGAAAATACCTGAGTTTGCCAATATGCCAAACAAATCCATGGTAGACATAACCCAGATAACTGGGGAAATCGTATTATTTAGAAAACAGCAAATTAGTTTTTGATTATTTTTTAATTAAAATCATGTAAAGCTTAAAATAGTATTGTAAATGTTACATATGTAAAATGTTAATCCACAGTGTAGGCTAAAAAAGCTAAAAAACTTCACTCCGACGCAGCAGTACTGAACTCATACAAGCAGTACATGGCTCATGTGAAAAGAAACTGACTTGTGTGAGAATAATATCACACACACACAGTCAGAAAAAGTAAGGACAGTGTTTTAACAATTAATGTTAACAATTACTGAGAGTATGAGTCACATGAAAATGTACTAACGCTAAGGGAAGGGAACCTAATTTACACACAAAGTATTTGACATTTTTAGCAAAGAATTTGACAGACACTTTTAACCAATGCAACTTACATTGCACCCAAGACACAAACTTTATCATTAACATACACCCCGGCAATCAATTCCATGACCTTGGTATTGCTAGCAAATGATTTATTTTTTAATCCAATTTACAGTAAAACTACCATTAACTACGACTTTTGCCTCAATAAACTCCAAATTTGCTACTTATTAACAGTTAGTAAGGTGGCTGTTAAGTTTAGGTATTGGGTAGGATAATTAGGGTTGTAGAATAAGGTCATGCAGAATATGATAATATATTATCATATATTATAATATACAATGAAAACTGCCCACATTTTTTAAAAGTAGTGCCCTACCAAAAGTTTGGGGTCAGGGAGATTGTCTTTCTTTTTTTTTTTTCTTTTTTCAATATTTTTATTTAAGCAAGGAAACATTCAATTGTCCAAAAGTAACAGTTAAAACCTTTATATTGTTTATATTGTTTGTAAAAAAAAAATTACAAAAAATGTCAAAGAAATGCTGTTCTTGAGATTTCTATTATCAGAAGTTCATCCAAAAATCCAAAAGTTTTGAGGAGTTTCCACAAAAATGTTAATAAGCACAACTGTTTTCAACATTGATGATAATGTTTGAACACTAAATCTGCATATTAGAATGATTTCTGAAGAATCATGTGACACTAAACTAGTAGTGACTGCTGAAAATGTAGTTTTGCTATCATAAGAATAAATTACATTTAAAATATTTTAAAATAGAAAAAAAGAATTATTTTAAATTGTAATAATAGTTCAGAATATAACTGTGTTTTTGATCAAATAAATATAGCCTTTGGAGAGCATAAGATACTTCTTTTTAAAAATATTTAAAAATCTTACCAACCCCAAACCTTTGAATGGTAGTATATGTGACAGCATGGACTATGCAAAGATAAATACCTTAAACAATAGAATGCTACATTTTAATGCAAGTTTAATTCTTATAAAGATTCAGAGTGGTGTCCAGTTTTTCATCTAAAAATTGTTACATTTTTAGTCCAATTTGGTGGGGGGAAAAAAGTATTTTTGGACTGTTGGCAGTCCATTTAAAATTTAAATGTAATTATTTTTTTATTATTTTAATAATCAAGATAGAGCTTTTAAAACTGTTGCTGATATTACTTCTGCTTTATTTGCTGCAATGGAAATCAATGGTCAAATCTAGCACATTGCATTATGGGATACAGTATTCAAAACAGTGTGTTCTGTGTATGCTGCAAAGTCTGGTCAATGTAGAAGGTCATCCAGGATGCATATCATTTTGTGTGAGAAATATTAAGGAGGATTTTTTGATTCACATGAAAAGTAACTCACATTTACAGCCAAGACACTGCGAGGAATGAGTTCACTGTAGTGTGTGATAGTGAAGTGCCATGTTTTGATTCTCCTGAGGTCATCAAAGGTGAACACAAGAATAAGATGGCCTTCTGTACACACCTGTGAAAAAAAGGAAGAGAGTTTGTCATTCAGTTTTTTTCAAACTTTCAGAATAAAATAAGACAGCCATCACACAAAGACAATTAATTATCTTGTATCTTCTGAAATCATGACTTGACTTGACCAGTGCACAACTTGTGAGAGAATTACATCTAACTAATTTTTGTTTTTCATTCATTTAAAACAAATCAAATTATACGGTTCTCTCATTAAAGCAGTATTTTCAGCACAAGCAGGATTCTGTGTGGAACTCTGAACCCCAACATTCTGTTGCCGGGGGAACAGAGGGTAGCTGCAAGGTTGGCATAGCAACGGGAGGGATGTAATCCCAGCAGACACGCTCTGATCAATGCCTCCAGTACACACACACACACACACACACACACTTGGGAACTGTGTCTGTATAACTTAGCTACAACATACAGTCTTCCGAATCAATATTTAATTCACAAATGTTCATTTACTAAAAAGCAAAGTTGGACAAAACTCTCTCTCTCTAATTGACAATTGAACGATTCTGCATCGTAATGGCGTACCATATGAATATTGCATAGGACATTCAGAAAATCACACGTTATGTTGGTCTTTGGGAACCAAGTATTCTTGTCATATGATATAAATGAAATAAGCAAAAGCATTCTCTGAACAGTATTGTAATATACTTGTTCAAAGACAGTATTAGCAGACTTTTCATCAAGATCACCCTACAGTTTAAGCGCATAAAGCTATAGGACAGAAAAAAGAGAAGCGTTTTTTGTGGATGAGCGAGGGAGAGAGGGAGTGAGGAAGAAGTCGAGAAAGAGCAGGAGGGAGAGGGAGAGAGTGGGGGTTATATTTTCCTTTTTTGTTTTGTGCAGTTCCAGCCCAGAATTCACAATGAGGAATACATTAGTGCTCAAAATGAGGAAGCAAAGACTCACTGAGCCAGACTCGTGCGTGTGTGTGCAGTACCTTAGTGAACGTAGGTTTGCCGTGTTGTGTTGTCATAGTACAGTGATGAGAGTCGACAGTAATAGCTGAGTTGTTGAACGACTCCTTTGTTTGTTTCAGCTCAAAATACAACTCATAGACTCCTCCTTCGAACAGAGAACTGAAGTAACGAGGGATCAGGGTGCGCCCGATGGCTGGGGAAGAAGGAAGGAGAGTGAGAGAAACATACGTGGAGAGGGAAATTTCATTTTGAGGACATCAGTTGCGGTCGCGGATTAACAAACAGAAGGAAAAGAATGGTATAGACTCCATGCAGAGGTGTTTATTTATTAATGGCCATATGATGAAAGAGACTCAAAGTTGGGCGACACACTGGCCGAACACCTTAACTGGCAAACGTAAATGTGTGTGTTTATGTGTGTGTCTCTGTGTGTGGTCCCCTAAGAGTTGGAAACAAACAGGCTACTGAATGCCGCAGGCATTAAGTCCAGCAGGCTGTGCATGCGCACAGAACTGTTAGTGCTCTGGAGCTGTCAATCACTGCAGTAGAGGTGTGTGAAGTCTGCAGGCCCATATTTATTTGAACACCCCAGACCTGTCAATCAAATCTCACCACATACACAGTGAATAAGGAATGAATGAGAATGAGTGAAATCCAGCACAACTGTGTCCCTGTCTAACTCTAAACAGACTGAAATGAATCTAAATTCAAACTCTACCTTAGAAAGAGAAAAGGAGACAAAGTGTGCAAATTTTATTATGATTTTATTTGTGATTTTAAAAATATTTTACACCACATTTTTTAGGGTAAAACAATGTTTTACACATCTTAAAGTACATATATGCTCACAAATCTGATTCTCATTTAATTTAATAAGTTAATAAGTAATCATTAGTGTACACCGTGATTTTATCATATTTTGATGTTTACAAAATCCACCAAAAAACAACATTCAAGGATTGTAAGTGGTTACAAATCTAGTTTAAAACATATGTGCCAAGTTCTCATTCACTGTATTTATCGTGGTTTTATATTTTGAAAAAAAAAAAATGTAATGAATTAAAAAATGTAAAGTCAAAATATTTTCTTTACACACTGAATGTGAATTTATCTGAATCATTATTTTCAAAATAGCTTAAAGGTAAAAAGCATTTTTATGAAGATATGAATTGAGAATTTTATGGCATTTTATAGCCTGAACTAACCTTGCATGTCATAAAAAGATTAAAATTGTTAATATTTAAAACGACTTACAGACCCTGACACACAGTCCTGAGAATCAGCAGGGTGCCTCAATGATATAATTTTCTTTTTTCAGGGTTTTTTTTGTTTCTTTTTTTTTTTTTTTGCAAAATTATTTAAAATATGAATAAGCAGGACAGCAGTTTTGTTCAAATATTTCCCCCCAAAAAAATAACATGAAAAGATTACGCTAAAGAATAGAATCCTTTTTTTTCTTAATCATGATGTGTGGACAGTTTAAACCATTTAAGTCAGAAACTGTATTGTCATTGTATGTATGAATTTGATTTTTAATGCATTTAATGTACTTTTTAATGAAATAAAATTAAAAAGTGTGTCACGTCATAGACCCAACCAAATGTTAAATATACTGTATAGGGGGGCCAACAGAAAAGTTGAAGAATCTAAACCATTACACCACACTTTTCGAACATCAATGAATACATGGTGGCTATGGCTCTGCACACACTTACTGTACGTCTTTGGTCCCTCCTCCAGGCAGAATGAGAGAGTCAATGTGGCATCTTCTTCAAAGAACTCAGTGCAGAATGCATCCCACCACAGAATATCACAGTCCTGTGGGATCACACATTAACACGCATTTAACACTGAGTGAGACAGAGGAGAGGCACAGAAGTACTTGACCTCTGAATGACCCAAAATGACCAAAATTAGGCCTGGCACAGTGATTATCATTTCAAAGCTTTCTGTTTATTATAAACACACACCCATCTTGACTCGCCCCATTAAGGGCAGCAATTTACACCACAAATCCAGCCAGCTACCGCTGGCCTGCTATTGAGATTCACTTTTGTATTGGACATTATTATACCAGTTCATACTCCACAATACACTTTGTGCGTTATAAACGTGCAAGACAGTTATTAGATTGTGAGAAAGGGGTGTTTCTATAGAGGTCATCATTCCAATAGTTTAGTCTCTCTTAGCGGTATCTGTCAAATTATCATGACTCCAGGTGTGCTGAACATACCTCTGCTGATACATTTTATTTTCCTCCATTTATTCGCATTGCTTTTTCTGAGTGTAGGCAATATTTTAAAGTACTATTTATTGTGGATTATTTTTGCACACACACTGACGGCATCAGGAAAAGCAAATATTAACAGCTTGCGCTGCAGTTTAAATCGGGACCTATTGAGGGAGAAAGAATATATATATATATACTGTATATATATATATATATATATATATATATATATACTAGTCACATTGCACTGTTTGTTCGGTTTCTGTCTTATGGAGAGTACTACAATAATTCATGCTACCAAATAAACATTATGGAACATCACCTTGCTGTTTGTGTTCCTGAAAACCACCACATAATCAATAGTGTATTTGGTATTGTACCAAACCAAGGACTAATGTGTTGTGTGCTCAGTCAAATCCTATTTAGTGAAAGTCCTTGAATATGTTCAGTTTGTAAGTGAACATTGGGGTCACACTGTGGTGATGCGAGAGGAATACGTGTGTAACGTTTTAAACGTGTGTAAAATGTCTGGTAATAAAGATCTGATCATGACTTTGGCAACCTTCAAGTGCGCTTATGTGATTATTTGAATTTTCATTTTGTGTGCAACAAAAATGATGTTTGATAGGTGTAATAATAATGCCATGTAAGCAGTCAACTTTTAATGTATAAAAAATGCATTAACAGATAGCCCATAACTTAAAAAATATTAAAACTGATTAAAATTCTGATCTTCAAACTGCTATTATGCTATTCTGGCATAGATGTGCATTGCTGTTCACGTCTTATTTCCATCATAACCAACAATGTATATTTTGTATATGAAGTATATTTTGAAAAGGCTCAATTCTTCTCGAAAACGCAATACGGAAATGTCAGCACTATTTGTAACAGAATGTTGAGATATTATACACATAAATACGTGACCTAAAATAAATTCAAAATATTTATCTTTATTTTTTTAATAGCTAATTTCCGTTTTTAACACTTTTTATCATAAAATAGGCTAATTATTGAAAGATCTTTTTTCTTTAAAATCAGCATAATTGACAGAAAAGTTCTTATAGATTACATGATGACTCTATTGATCTCGTCTAAAATGTATGTTTGCTTTAGATATTTAAGAACGTACATAAAATATTAATTGCAAAGTCCTGATTTTTGGTAATCACTCACCTCAGGCCGGGACTGGAGCCGTTTGTTAAGCTCGTGCATCCGGTACTCCGGCTGCACCGGGTAGGGCGCGTGTCTCCGGTAAAACGGACCGAACGGAGATGAGTAGAAGGGGTCGCGCGGCGCGCCAGTCATGGTTTCTGTTACCGACAGCGCGCGAGGAGCGCATCCACACGCAGCACGTGGAGCACGACGATCGTAAACATACACACACACGTGCGCTCCCGGACACACGGAGAGATGCGACTGTCAAATCACACGCGCGCTCTGCTGTGAGAGGAGAGGAGAGGAGTGGGGAAGGGAGGGAGGACTTCACGATGGGAAGTGGGTGGAGGAAAGGAGAGAGGCTCCTGTAAATTGGTGGGTCTTTCCTTACAGTACAGTCTGACAAGTTGGCCAATTAGAGCAAAATTCAATGGAATGCAATCACTTTTTAATATTTCGGATAAAATCCCCAATACATGTCTTCTATAACTACTGCAGTGTGTGCTACTGTGGCATAATATAGTTTGCTCATGTGCAAATGAATTGCATACAGCATTGCACGTATTCAATGCAGAGCTGCAACTACAGTGTGTGTGTGTTTCTCTACTTGTATTTTTCCATCTCTCCTTCTTTATGACTCACACAAGAGACTTGCTCCCCCCCCCACACACACATTCTCTCTATATTTCTCACTCTGTCTCTCAATTTGTCAATTGAAGTATGCTTTAACTATACATTTGTATTGCCGGGCTTCTTACAAATAGTGCACATATGTATTAATAGAAAGAAAAATAATAATAATAATAATATATAAAAAAGTATTAAGCATGCAGTGCAAAGTGAATTACTAATGTATGTATGTAAACTAGAAATAAAATAAAATAAGATAAGGGATTAGACAGATTTACAGAAGCAAACATCTAAATAATATAACAGTAATATGGCATAATATATTCTACATGTGCTGGAAACATCAGATCAGGGCATATTGAGTGTTTTCTCTTCTACCGGGACAGGCAGACACATATTGAGCAGCAAACACACAGCAGTTCTTGTGGATAATGTAATCTTTCTATACATTTCCCACTCATTTTTATGCTCAAAAATCTCTCTTATGTGATGAGAGACAGATAGGACAGACATGTAGAGAGAGAGTGAGTCCATATGGATTCTATTACTCTCTTGTTTTAGGGGAAAGCGGGGCCCCAAAAGTTCACCTCCTTTACTTCACTTTCTTTTTTTCTCTTAGTCTCTCTTTCTCATGGCCAAAATCAAGACACTCCCTGTTTTTACAAAATAGTGTAGAGAGTAGCACGCACGCACGCATATACACAGAGCCTGTTGCTTCATTTTGTGCTTGTGTGATTGATAGTTCAATGCTCATGTGGCTTCACAATGCAAACTGTAGGTATATTAGTAAAGAGGCTCAGAGATGCACACACAGACACAGACACACACACACACACACACACACACACACACTCTAAAGGAATGGAATTTACCCACTCCACTGCTGTATAAATGGAGAGAGAGAGAGAGAGAGAGAGAGAGTAGGATAATGAGAGAACTCTCTATCCATGTCTTTGTGTTTATCAATTTTCCTCCCGGTCTCTATGGTGACTTGATCAAAGATGACCACAAGATGTCACTCTCTGGTTTCCTTTTAGTTAATAGCAAATGGCAAGAGGATTGAGAATAGCAGAATGGTTGGGAAGGCCAAGGACCATTTCTTGAACAGGAAAGCACACCGATTTAATTTTATTTATTTATTTAATTTAATTTAATTTAATTTAATTTAATTTAATTTTTTGTTTTGTTTTGTTTTATTGTATTGTATTGTATTGTATTGTATTATTTTATTTTATATTAATTTCATTTTTATTTTATTTTAAGAAATATTTAGGATTTATAAATAAATAAATAAACAAATAGACAAACAAACAAACAAACTGAAATATTATGATGTAAAAGGAATACAAATTTTACGGTCACTTAATTTTTTTCACACAAGTTTTTTTTTTTTAGTTTAGTTTAGTTGCACAATATAAAACATATACGATAAAAAGCAAAGAACTATAATTCATATACAGTGTAGGGAGAGGCAGAAAAACCATAAGAGCTTATTTAAAGTCTCAACCTAAACAAAATATAAGTAACATACAAAAATGTATAAATGCAAATTACTGAATCAAATTAATAAGAGCATATATTGTAACGTACACCAGAAACAAACCCTATAAGGAACATGAAATACATAACAAGAAGAAATAAGGAAACAATATTTTATAAATCAGTAATAAAATGCTTTTTAAGCATCTTTTATAACATATTAATGAAGAACTTTTTTTTTTTTGCCAGATGGGATAAATCATTCCATAATTTGATACCCTAAATCTTATCGAGTATTGACCTCTACAAATGAGACATTTAGTTGGATTCTAAAATCATGCTAGACAACATGGTTTTAATATCAATATTTTTGAACACAAACATAAATTTTTGAACACATTGTATGAATTGTGGAGTTCATGCTGCTTGTTTGCTGCTTGCATTCAACAAAAGAACTAAAATGAAATAAAAAGAAATTCTGAAATTCGTTTAAATTTTCTATTCAGCGTTTCACTCAAATGTATTCTGGCAATAATACAATGTGTACTAAAAAGTGTTGAAGAACAAAGCATCAAACACAAATGTTTGAAATGAAATATGTGAGGGCCCCATCAAGAAAAAAGTGAAAGAGAAACATAATGAAGGCGAATTTAAGTAAACCTAAAGTCCAGTGAGATTAAGTTTATAATGAATGTCAAAGGATGTTGCTCATCATTTAGAGTAAACATCACCCTCTCTGACCCTGCACAAGCAATTCCACTAAGTAGCATGTATGAGTGTGTTTTCTTGTGCAATCTTTCTGCATGCCTATCCCCAAACACACACACATATGCATCTATACTGTATGGATAATCAAAGAGAAAGGAAGATGGAGACAGAGTGAGTCAGAAACAGAGAAAGATCCACATGGATTTTATTGTTGAATCCTTTGATTAAATATTAATGCAACCACAGATTCTCTAAAAATAATCCACAGACACTACAATATATAGGTGGGAATACACACACAAATGCAAGGTTTAGTAAAGAAACTCATACTCATCCCAGCTCCAAATGTTTCTCAACATCTTACTGTAGATACAGATACTGAAGACACTCCACATACTGAAAACATGTTCACACACATACAAAAATCACACATACAAAAGCACAGATGTTTTTTGGGGGGATGCCAAACTATATTTATGCATATACTGTATATGTGCGCGCACACGCACACACACACACACATGTTGTGTTTCCATGTTTTATGGGGACATTCCATAGGCGTAATGGTTTTTATACTGTACAAACTGTATGTGCTATTGCCCTACACCAACCCTACCCCTAAACCTACCCCTCACAGGAAACTTTGTGCATTTTTACTTTCTCAAAAAAAAACTCATTCTGTATGATTTATAAGCTTGTTTCCTCATGGGGACCTCAAAAATATCCCAAGGTCAAAATTTACTAGTATTACTAACCCTTGTGGGGACATTTGGTCCCCATAACGTGATAAATACCAGGTACACACATACACACACACACACACACACACACACACACAGATACACAAATATATATTGTATATTTACACAGAATACACACACACACACACACACATATATATATACACTTAAAAATAAAGGTGCTATATATACAGTGTATATATATTAAAAAAACGTTGAAAGTAAATGGCATTCTTTGGAAAATAAGTTTTTTTTCTCTATTTAAAAACTGAAAATGTGCACTTTTCATTTGCAAGTCTCTTGATAGGTTCGGCACGGTTGTCAGTCAACTTCATCTCAAAATATTGTCTGATTTATATATAAATAAAACATTATAAAAAATAAAATAACATTTCCAAAAAATGCTTTTATACACACACACACACACACACACACACACACAGATACACAAATATATATTGTATATTTACACAGAATACACACACACACACACACACATATATATATACACTTAAAAATAAAGGTGCTATATATACAGTGTATATATATTAAAAAAACGTTGAAAGTAAATGGCATTCTTTGGAAAATAAGTTTTTTTTCTCTATTTAAAAACTGAAAATGTGCACTTTTCATTTGCAAGTCTCTTGATAGGTTCGGCACGGTTGTCAGTCAACTTCATCTCAAAATATTGTCTGATTTATATATAAATAAAACATTATAAAAAATAAAATAACATTTCCAAAAAATGCTTTTCTAATACATGTTATTTTTAGGTGGATTCAACACAAAGTGACGCCCATTGTACTTGCAGTATAACAATGCTCACATTACAAGCATAGACACAAGAGTTATTGACAAGCAGTTAGTCAAGATTCTAAAAAGGCAAAGTCTGTGATTTAAGTAAAAAAAAAAAAAAAGTATATTTAACAGTGGTGATGAAGGAAGATTAGCAGCACACATTCTTCTACTCAGGAATAACACAAACAGAACTTCAAGCTTTGCTTGCTGTATGCTCCTACTATTCACTATTCTTTAGATGTGATGTTGCCATAGCAACCTCAACTCAGTGACCTCGTTCTTTCAGCTCTGAAATTATGGGCTGCCCAGCCTGATAACAGGCAAAGAATAAACAGCGATAGAGAGAGAAAGAATATTTTTTCCTAGTTTCTCTTGCTGTTGCTGCAATACAATGACATACTATCATTTCTGAAATTCTGAAGTAATCTTTTCATTATAAATCAACCACAAATTTCATGAATGAATTTGTGACAGAGTTAATGAATTAATACAAAGGCAAGCAGTGCATTAGAATTGAGCTATAGTCCTATTCAATGTCTTACCGACCACCAGAACAGCCAGGCACAAGAACAGTTTTTTTCCCGCAGGCTATATTCAGCTTGAACAATTAAAACTTAATACATCGTTTATCACAACTGGCATTTATATACACAGAATCCAAAATGTGTACACTTGTAAACTGCACACTTTGTAAATAACATATTTGCACACTTATAACATATCTGTACATTTATTTAAACAATTAAATTTTTTATTTTTCTGTATATAGTACAAATTCCTTGTGTGTGTAAACATACTTGGTAATAAAGCTCTTCTGATTCTGATGCAAAATGTACAGCAGCAAAGAAATAGTACAAATAAGCAAATAAATGAATGAACTCATATATGAAGAATGGCTTATGTAAAAAGCAGAATGGGA